ACCATCTTACCATATTATATTCTTAAAAATTTGTATAATGGAATTTTCTTTTGAAATATGTATTAGACATTTTCATCAGGCATTGTTAAGGGTAAAAAGTATTAACCTTATAATCACTTACTAAGAATGTGATAGTCTTATTTCATATTTTTCATTAAAGTAGGGACAGAATAGTAAACTACATCAAAATAGCAGTTGATGTAAATCTACTGTGTCATTGTGAACAACCCATAAAATCTAGGAGTTGACTGGTGCTTTGGTTTAGATAGCCGTAGTTCGAAACAGTTAACTATTGAGTATATATACTAGGAACTCTGATAATTGCTAATTAAATATATGGGGAATTCTGAGAACAATTGCTGTTATGGAGCAGTTTGAGTATTGTCTAAAATGATCTTTTTTGCCTGTTTGTTGTGGTGTAATTTACATATAATAATAAGATTCACCCTGAAAAAGGTATATAGTTCTGTGAATTTTGACAAATGCATATGGTCATAAAATTTACACCACAACCAAGATATAGAACCATTACTCTATCATCCGAAAAACTTCTTTTATGCTCTTTTTAAATCAACCCTGTCCTTTACCCCCATTGGTACTGAAGCAAATAATGCAATACTGGGCATGGTGGCTCACGTCTGTAATCCCAGCACTTTAGGAGGTCGAGGTGGGCAGATCACGAGGTCAAGAGATCGAGACCATCCTGGCCAACATGGTGAAACCCCATGTCTACTAAAAATACAATAATTACCTGGGCGTGGTGGCATGCACCTGTAAATCCCAGCTACTTGGAAGGCTGAGGCAGGAGAATCGCTTAAACCTAGGAGGCGGAGGTTGCAGTGAGCCAAGATTGTGCCATTGCACTCCAGCCTGGGAGTAAAGAATGAAACTCCATCTCGAAAAATAAAATAAAATAAAAAATGAAAAGAATCAAGCGGAAATTCTGGAGTAGGAAAATGCAATTGATATGTTGAAGAGTATCAGAGTCTCTTAATAGCCGAATTATTCAAGCAGAAGAATTACTGAGTTTGAAGACAGGCTATTTGGAAATTCACAGAGGAGACAAAAAGTATAAAAAAGGATGAAGCACACCTGCAACATCAGAAAATAGCCTCAAAAGGGAAAATCTAAGAGTTATTGGCCTTGAAGAGGAGGTAGAGAAAGAGATAGGAGTGGACAGTGTATTCAAAGGGATAATAATGAACTTTCCAAACCTAGGGAAAGATATCAATATTCAAGTAAAAGGAAGTTGTAGAACAGATTTAACCCAAAGAAGACTGCCTCAAGACATTTAATAATCAAACTCCCAAAGGTCAAGGATACAGAAAGGATCCTGAAAACAGCAAGAGAAAATAATCAAATAATATACAATGGAGCTTCAATATGTCTGGCAGGAGACTTTTTAGTGGAAAGCTTACAGATCAGGAGACAGTGGCATGACATATTTGAAGTGCCAAAGGAAAAACAGCTTTTACCCTGTGATATATCTGGCAAAAATATTAATATCCTTCAAACATGAAAGAGAAATAAAGACTTTCTCAGACAAATGAAAACTGAGGGATTTTATCAACACCAGAGTTGTCCTACAAGAAATGCCAAAAAGAGTTCTACAATTAAAAAGAAAAGAATGTTAATGAGCAATAAGAAATCATCTGAAGGTACAGAACTCACTGGTAATAGTAAGTATGCAGAGAAACACAGACTATTATAACATTGTAATTGTGATATATAAACTACTATTATCTTAAATAGAAAGATAAAAATATTAATCAAAAATAACTGTAAAAGCCTTTCAAGACATTGGCAGTATAATAAGATATAAATAGAAACAACAAAAAGTGGGCTGGGTGCAGTGGGTCACACCTGTAATCCCAGTACTTTGGGAGGTAGAGGCAGGCAGATCACCCGAGGTCAGGAGTTCAAGACCAGCCTGGCCAACATGGTGAAACCCCGTCTGTACAAAAAATGCAAAAATTAGCTGGACATGATGGTGAGTGCCTGTAATCCTAGCTACTTGGGAGACTGAGGCAGAAGAATCGCTTGAACCCGGGAGGCAGAGGTTGCAAAGAGCC